GATATAACTCTTGCTTGGAATCTTGATCTCAATGGACGAGTGCACCGATGAATTTGAGTTCATTCACTCGAGAAAAAGTGACACAAGCTGCGGGCAATGTTTGCGAATCATGAACACCAAATGTCCATTAATCATTATTCATGAACATTTAGTGTTCATGATTAGTAAACATTGCCCGCAGCTTATGTCACTTTTTGTCGAGTGAGTAAACTCAAATCCATCGGTGCACTCGTCCATATCATCCGCCTCCAAAAGCACCTTCAGAGAAGATGAAATTTCTGGACTGACAGCATCAGAAGCTCGCCGTTTGGAGAGTATGGACGCAACCAAATCCGAACCACTAGGATGCTTCAGGCCTTCAGGGCAACATGCCACGTAAAACTATAGATATTCCAGTTCCAGTTCCCAGCAGCATCAGCGGTTGCTGAGAGCTTAGTATATTTCCCGGCAAAAGTACACAACGGACAAGTACTTTCCGCTCGGTATTGTTCCTGGCAACGGTACACAGCAATCATCAAGTTTGACATGAAGTATTGGTGATCGAAGTGATATTTCCTATGAAACATAAATTTAGAATTTTAATTCAAAGGTTGCAACTACAATAGCTTGAATTTTGGGATGATCAGGACTAAATGTCACATTACCGAAGTCGGTCAAAACACATTTTTGGTACAAGCATAGAGGTACAAGCTTGGTACAAGTAGTGCATTCTAAATTCGCTAATTTCATTTTAATTCCACCCTTCTGTATACTTACGGATTGGCGAAATGGGCTTCAATCTTCATTCGAAGTTTTTCCTTGTGGCCATCAAATTCGTCGTCTTGTTCCTCGGCGGACCCAAGATGCATTCGCGCCCTGATTCGCGCCCTGATTCGCGCTATTTTGCGTGCTTTTAAAAACGGCTTAATCCATTTGTTCGCACAATATCCGCAAGATCCAGAATGCACAGGATCTCCCCCTCCATGAAACTAAACTCATGTGGTCGATCCGCGTATCTCCCATACACACTTTCGAGAGATGGTGTAAAATAATTCAGTCTCAGGTTCAGCTTGCTAGTTTTATTATATTGTAGCAGAAAAAAAACAGTTTCAGGGTTTTTCAGTGGAGTGAAAAGGTAAGGAAAAATCCATCATGTTTTACGCATATCAGTTGCTATTTGCCAATAAGAGTAAAGAGTAACACGTCGTAGATGCAAAACTACTGTTTATAAACATAACAATCGAACGCTTGATCGAATGTAAACAGTCATGGAAGTGGTGCCAGAATTAATAGAAAATTCTGGTGGAAGTGTGTCGAATTGTGTTTTGGTCCCCAACCATTTTTCACAACCTTTTTCGCAAGTGAAATTAAATGATTTTTCTATTGTTTCAAATTTTACTTCACTTCGATCTATCATTGACATTCTTTGATCGTACATGCCTGCTTCCTGCTGTGCTCTTTTGGATGGTTTTAGCCTGCATGGTTTAATGCAAATTAATTCTGTACCAAACAGAAACTCTCGGCTGCTTGATCTTGTGTTGGTGAACGAAGCCGACGCACTAGAGTCAACAATCAATACGAAACTAACGATTTTAAATTGGCTCACTACTTGACTAGCCTATTGGTCCCAAGCAAACGATCAACATACCCTATTTTAGTCGAAATTCTAGTACTACGCAGTGTTTGTTTTGATTCGCTACGAAAGTTTGACAGATAAAATGAGGGGTTATTGGTTTTTCCTATGTTTCGAAGGGTGAATCGATTAGCTTGGGACCAAAGAGAGTACCAGAGCTGAGCCAAAAAGATGAGCACGTTATTTCGGGACCTTCTAGTCTTAGAGTTACCTCTATGCTAGAGTAGTGTCGCTGAGGCATCCGAGCCTCTGATACATCTAGACGCCGATCATCCAGCGTCGGAAGCATTCATCAATCGATCAGTTCCTGTTCTCTAAGAAAATATCGTTGATGTACAAAGCCTGGACTTTCGTAGAACTGACTCGTCGCATTGAATCACTCACTGGCCCAGGTAGATTGGCATTCGCTTGACTTGTGTTTGTCCATTGATGAAGCCGTTAACTATTTCGACGAAGTTGTTAGCCGATTAATAATGGATTGTGTGCCTCTGAGGAGACCTGCTCCAAAACCTGTATGGTCCAATGCTCGACTACAACACTTGAAGCGTGTGAGATCGAAGGCTCTTCGAAAATACAGCCAGTCCCGTAATCCATTCACCAAGCGATTATTTTCGTTAGGAAGTAATTGCTACCGAATGTACAACCGTTTTCTATACAATAAGTACTCAAGACGTATGCAGACCAATCTCCGGCGTAATCCTAAGCTATTCTGGACGTTTGTGAAGACAAAAAGGAAAGAGGATGGGCTACCGGTTGAGATTCATCTAAGCGATAAAAGAGCCAACAGTTCTTTAGAGAAATGTACCCTCCTGGCTGAGCATTTCAAGAGTGTTTTCAACGATTCAACGGCATCGTTAAGCCAAGTTGCTGAAGGGATCAGAGATACTCCCAGTGACGCGTTCAGCTTTGATATTTTCACGGTCACATTGGACCTCGTCGACTCTGCCATCCAGAAGCTGAAATTCTCGAACGCTGTTGGGCCTGACGGCATTCCATCGTCCATACTCAAAAAATGCTCAACAGAGCTTTCCTCTCCGCTTTCAAAGCTGTTCAATATTTCGTTACAACAAGGTGTATTTCCCTCTCGTTGGAAATCTTCGTTCATGTTCCCGATTTTCAAGAAAGGAGACAAACAAAATGTGGATAATTACCGAGGAATTACTTCACTTTGTGCCTGATCGAAAGTATTTGAGATAATCACCAACGACGCTTCATTTGCCAGCTGTAGAAACTACATTTCTCCTGACCAACATGGTTTCCACCCCAAACGTTCGGTCTCAACAAACCTCGCTCCTTTAATTTCCCTATACCTACGGAATATGGAGGCAGGGGCACAGGTGGACGTCGTATACACGGATCACAAGGCTGCTTACAACCGGGTTGATCATGCCATTCTAATTGCCAAACTCGAGAAGCTTGGTGTTTCTCATGGACTCACTCGTTGGTTTGAATCGTATCTTACCAATCGAGAGCTTTGTGTGAAAATCGGGTCTGATCAATTGGAATATTTTTCAAACAACTCAGGCGTTCATCAAGGCCGCAATTTGGGACCGCTGCTATTCTCCTTATTCATTAACGAAATCGGTTTGATACTTCCAACTGGTTGCCGGTCATTCTATGCAGATGATGTCAAGATGTACGTGGTTGTGCGATGCTTCACTGACTGCCTGCGGTTGCAGCACCTGATCGATAGTTTTGAAGAGTGGTGCTCTAGGAATTTTCTCACGTTGAGTGTTCAAAAATGCAATATCATCACTTTCCATCGCAAGCTAAAACCTATTGCATTCAATTATACGATCGATAACCAACCTCTGCAGCGTGTGGACAACGTTCGTGATCTAGGAATTACACTTGATTCTGCTTTGACATTTAAGCTACATTACACGGATATCATAGCCAAAGCTAACAGGCAACTCGGATTCATCTTTAAGATCTCTGATGAGTTTCGGGATCCTACCTGCCTGACAGCTCTATATTGTTCTCTAGTGCGATCGATCTTGGAATTTGGTGTAGTAGTATGATGTCCGTATGAAACAGTTTGGATAGCGAGGATCGAGTCTGTTCAGAGGAAATTCGTTCGTTACGCTCTTCGCCACCTTCCTTGGTACGATCCTACGAACCTTCCACCCTACGAAGATCGTTGCCAACTACTGGGTATTGAAACTCTTGAACGTAGGCGGAAGATTAACCAGGCAGTTTTTGCAGCAAAAGTGCTGATAAGCGAAATCGACTCTCCCGGGATTTTGGCTGAATTCGAAATCTATGCACCTGAACGAGTTCTACGATCAAGAAGTTTCCTGCATCTTGGACCCCGTGCAGTTAATTACGGATTACATGATCCAATACGGTTCATGTCTGCCCGTTTCAATGAATTCTATGTTTTTTTTTTCGATTTCAACTGCACAGTGGAAACATTTCGTCAACGGATTCAACGTAGTCTGCTGGATAGGTGACGATACGGTTCGACAAATGCAACTGCTTTCAATCAGCAAATTGTTGCAAGAACGGTGAGTAGCTGTCCATTAATGTACATCTGATGAATTTTGCTACCTGTTTCCTTTTTTGTTCCCGATCAACTCTGCGATGACGGCCTCGACTGATGCAAGGTCAACTTCATGCCATAGTACAAAGTTATTTTTTTTTATGATGAAGACCATAGTATTATTATTATTATTCGGTGTTTATTTTTATAATTGATGTGTTTTTCTGTCCTTTCTATATTGTTGTCATTTAGACAACAAAAGTCCGATGAAGAGAATAATAAATAAATAAATAAATAAATATATTGTCGGGCAAGTTGGACACAGCGGAAAACCGCACACGCGACGTTCGATTTTACTCTCGTTCTGTACGTTAAACATAACGTCGGACATAGTGCGCATTATAACGCATCATTGTGCTAATACAGCGCACTATGTCCGACACTATGTTTAACGTACAGAACAAGATTAAAATCGATTACCATGTGTGGGGTTTTGCGAGGGGTTTTGTCCTGTACAGATAATACTATCCACATAAACAATAACAAGAATAAGCGCATAGCCACCGATTCGGGATATATACCCAACGTTACGATTCTGAAGATTTCCTGCATAAAGATGATGCGCGATGCAACTAGATGCGAGAAAAGAAAGAAGATTTTTCGAAGATTGATTCGCTAGTGTGAGTTTTTTAGAGCTAGTTTTAGATTTAGATTTGTCGCCCCCCTCGATTAATATCGACTCTGGCTAAAATAGCTTTAGCAACATGGATGTATGGATGCTCTAAGCGTACAAGGGTTGATCGGTAAAATCAGCAGCTACCACAGTGGAAGCGCGATCGCCCAATGCTATTGGGAGCAACAACACAAGTCAAAACAAACAAAATTCCATCAAAAATAATATTCAACTTGCCGGTGATATAATAAAAACTTAAGTTGATAGTTAGTTCTTCTAGTATTTTACAATTGAATCAATGAAATGATGAAAATGTTTAAACCAATAAGTTATGCCGTAAAACGGTTACCTTCTACAATCTCGGTTGTTCGGCACTCTTCAAATGCAACCAAAGAATCCGCCTTGGCCCAAAGCTATTGCATGAACCTAGTGAAGTGAGTCTTTTCAACTATTTTATTCCTATATGAGAGATTTTCAACTAATCCATCTGTTGGCCCTTAGACAATATGACAAGGAGAACTTCCTTTGCACGTTGCTGCTCAAAAACCCAGAACGCCGAAGTGCCCTGGCCATCCGGGCATTCAATGTGGAGATCGCTCGCATCACCGGCACCGTGTCCGACGACAAAATCGGTCAGATGCGGCTCAAGTTCTGGGAGGAGACCATCGATAAACTGTTCAAAAACGATCTGAAGCACGTACCGGATCAACCGGTCATTCAGGAGCTCAAGGCAGTTATCGACAGCCACAAGCTAACGAAGCGGTACTTTCAACGACTGATTACCGCTCGGTTGAACGCCAATCTGCGGTTCGTGACCACCAAGCAGCTGGAGGAATACGTAGAAAATTCGGTTTGCAGTGTGCTGTATCTGGTGCTGGAAGCGCACGGTGTACGGAATGTCCACGCCGATCATGCAGCGTCCCATCTGGGAAAGGCCCAAGGAATAGTCAACTTGCTAAGATCGATTCCCTACCAGCAACGGAGAAATGTCGTACCGGTACCGCAGGAGGTACTTATGCAACACGGGGTCAGTCAGGAAAGGGTCCTGCGAAATAGGAAGGAAGACAAAGGAGTGGAAGAAGTAGTTTTCCAACTGGCCGGGTTAGCCCATCAGCATCTGGAGAAAGCGAGAAAACTGGCAGGATCGGTTCCGAAGCCTGCTAGGCCGGTGTTGCTTCCAGGAGTCGTGACTGGGCGCTATTTGGAACGATTGAGAAGGGCCAACTTCCACCTGACCGATTCGAAGCTGTTGCAAAGTGACGCGTTACTTCCGCTTTCTATCTACTGGAATCACTTCCGAGGGAAGTTCTGAGAGGGTAAGTAAGTACCTAGTCCTACGTTTAAAATGAGGTTAATAGATTGTTGAAAGTTGTAAATTGAGCTCAGCGGAGTTTTGTTAGGGAAAGAACAGCCTGATTGTTGATGCCGATAAGGTTTATTTTATTATACCAAGTTTTGCCATGGTAAAGCGAAAGAATTCTGCTAGCTCGCGCTGTCTTCTGATGAGTTAGCACTGTCGTTAGGTTCCTCTTCCTTCTTATCAGCAGTTACAACTGTATCACTTTTTTCTGTCGAATCATCTTGGGCCGATGATTTTTCCAATTCCTTCGGCTTCGCACCTTTCCTCATTGGTAGCACCTCCATTAGTGTTTCTTGCCACTTTTCGCCTAGTTGAATTTTCATCAAAATTTCAAACACTGAAAGCGCAAAAAATCAAACATCCGGTTGTTACATCGAAATCAAAAACCTTCCTACCTTGGTTAATGGTCAGAATCGTCCGAGTCTTAATGACAATGTGCTCGCTCAGAGGCAACCGAGCGTGCCGGATGCCCATCTCGCTTGCCAGCCCGTGGCAATGACCTTTGTATTGATTGTGATCCACCAGCCCACCGATCACGTACACATGATCCTTCTCCAACGTATCCAACACGTTGTCCGACTCGCTTGTCAGGTAAACCAGTTTGTCCCGGTCGAAGAGATCCACAAACGGCTGGCTGCTAAACTTAACATCCCAGTGCTGGTAGCCATCGTTCCGTTTCAGATGCTTCTCCACTGCTCCTCCCTGCTGAATCCCGGTGAAATGTAGCGGAATCGGTTTCTCCGATCGCCGATTCATCGTGTAGATACGCAACAGCTGCTTGACGCATTTGGCCACATCCTTATCGATCATCATCCCATCGAAGCTCAGATCCACCACAACTGTAATGTCCGACTTGGTGTAGTCGATCTTGTTCCGTTTCAGTTCCTTCCGGCTGGGACCGTTTCGGGTCGGTAGGCCGGCTTTGATTGCTTCCAGTTTTCGTTGTTTATTTTTTTCCTTCTCCTTGAGTCGTTTTTCCTTTTTCTTGACTTCCCATTGCTGCACTTTCAGAAGCTTCTTGCGCTGCCGTTTGGACATGGGTTCACCATCGGCCAGAGTCGATTCTGGCACATCTGGCGGATTGGATTGCTCCTGTGCTACAGCATCGGTAGTGGGTGAGGTGTCCTCCTTACTATCACCGCTCATTTCTAATATTTTTGTTGAATAAATTAATAAAAAAAATCGTAATATTTCAACTTTACACGTGAATTGCCAGCCACTGTTGTTGTTCCGCAACGGCAGCGCAGTGATGTTGCTGTCAGATGATTTTACCGACTTATTTTGATCGCGTTTTGATTGACGCATCATTTTACCGAATCTAAAATCAAGGGATGCGTTGATGATGTCGGTTTACGATTCACACCTATTTGCTATTGCTGGAATCCAGCAATATTTTGCTGGATTTTGCCGAGCTGGAAATTCAGTAATCCAGCCAGCAAAATAATAATGTTTGCTGAACGACCATCAATTTGACGCAAACTGACAGCACTTTGCTGTAAAACCAGCAATGTATACTGAATATCCAGCATAGCATAGTCGGCTCCACTCTACTCGATCCATGGTCTTACTTCGCCAGCCTCGTAGTCCATTTTCACTGGGTCGTCGTGTGGCATTCTTACGATGTGCCCAGCCCACCTTAGTCGCCCAATTTTCGCAATGTAGACGATGGATGGTTCTCCCAGCAGCTGGTGCAATTCGTGGTTCATTCGTCTCCCCCACGTTCCGTCATCCGTCTGCACTCCAACGTAGATGGTACGCAACACCTTCCGTTCGAAAACACCAAGGGCGCGTTGGTCCTCCACGAGCATAGTCCAGGTCTCGTGGCCGTTGAGGACCAGCGTCTTGTAGATAGTCAACTTCGTGCGGTGGCAAATTTTATTCGTCCGAAGCGTCCTCTGGAGTCCAAAGTAGGCACAATTCCATGCCATAATGCGTCTTTGAATTTCTCTACTGGTATCATATTCGGCGGTCACCAGTGAGCCCAAATACACGAACTCATCAACCACCTCGATTTCATCACCGTCAATCTGAACTCGGAGTGGGAGGCTAACATTGTCTTCCCTAGAACCTCTTCCTTTCATGTATTTGTTTATTTGTATATTGAAAAATTCAACTGAATAAAACTTAAACTAAATAGTTACGGTCAACGGTACGGAAAAAAACCAAGTAACCGATGACGAAACACACGTCATCTGATACATTGAAGTCGAACAAACAAAAGAAGTTGTTGAATTGCCAGCTGATTGCTCAAATTGGCTCGTGTTGTGTATAATTTCAGAAATGATGGTATCAGAAAGGCGATTCACCAAGCAGGATCTGAACCAATCCACAGCCGTTGACGAGATGCCAAGTATCTTCAGCTTGGCAAGAAAGATATTATGGTCCACCGTGTCAAATGCAGCTTTTAGATGCATGTACGCAGCATCGACTTGCCATCCTGAATCCATGCATCGCAAACAGTTAGAAGTAAACTGCACATGGCTCGTGGATACGGAGCGCTTCGGGTAAAAGCCGTGTTGTTCTGTATCGATATAATATTTGCAACACGCGAACACGGCATCATTTATGATAGTCTCGAACAGTTTTGAGCAGGCACACAGGGAGGTGATTCCACGATAATTTGTGACATTCCGTTTATGTCCTTTTTGTAGACTGGGAACCAATAAGAAAGTTTCCAGCGGCAGGGGAACTCACATTGATGTGCCTCTTTGATGCGTTGACGGCAAGTCCGATCCGCCTAGCTTCAGCCTTCAGTCTGATGTACGTTTTTGCCATCGTCTCAAAGTTCCGTGCCATGTCATCGGCGAAGCCAAGAAGCTGGATAGACTTCCTGAAGATCGTGTCACTCGTGTTTATCCCAGCTCTTCTGATCAAACCTTCTAATGCGATGTTGAATAGCAGACACGAAAGTCCATAACCTTGCCGTAACCCCCTTCAAGATTCAAAGGGACTCGAGAGTGTCCCCGAAGCAATTAATTATGGTGGAACTCGATTCAGATTTTTTGTTTTTTTAAAAATCATGCATATATTATGCAATGTCCTTTTTACCGAGCTTTATACAAGGTCTGGACCAAAGGGCTTATTGGTGTTAGTAAAATGTGCAAATGTTTAGTGGTGTTCGTATTTCATTGCAATGTTTATCTTTTTACACGAAACAGCTGTTGGCAGTGACGTATTTCTATCTGTTCGCACTTATACCTTTTGGCAAGTTTCTATTGCTGATTATTCATAAAATATTGCTATTTTGAAAGTTCTTCCAAATTGACTATTTGAATAACACATATAATAAATTACTGTGAAATAGTTATTTTTATTATTTTTGGTATCATAAAAAAATTAAAAATAAACATTATTTCGATGTTTTATCTGATTTTTTTTTCGATTTTCTCTTAATAATGTACTTTGGCAGCACTTCCAGAAACGATTCGAAAATTTGTTAAAAGAAATCAAAACAAAGTTAAAATTTGGTTGTTGTTGTTTACATCTATTTGGTGCTCTGAAGAAATTTGCAAATCGAGATCAAATTATCGTATTTATTCAACAACTGATAACATTATAGTTACTGATGTAAAATTTTCTAGTTTTCTTGTAGTCAATCTTGCAGCACCATGGATGAAAACGAATCTAAGGATGAGTACCAGGGCGCTGCGAATAAAATCGATTTCGACGTTAGTTTCGAGGACGTTTCAGACCAGTATTCGATCGAAGCCCTTGAAGATGATTTTGACCCTTTGATTCTTCCTTTGGATTGTGATGACGGAGTAGGAAGCCCGAATGAACACAAACCTAATGAGCCTGTGAAAAGTGAGGCCTGTCAGAAGAAGAATTTATCGCTGTGCGGTTCATTCTTCAAGCGTAGGTTTGTTGGAGAAACATCCGGTAGCTTGATTGCATCACAAATGTTGTGCGGTGATACAGTGCACGAAATCTTGCAAGGTGTGTGGACAATCGTAAGACCCATCATTTGCCGTGAAATTATTTTCATTGACGAAAGTGGAAGTCAAGTACCTACCTGGACTGACAGTGAGCCAACATTTGAGGATTTGCGGAAATTTGTATACATGCAGAGCAGCAACCGAACACGTATAAGCATCGATCAAATCAATAGCAAACTTTTGATTAGCTGGCGTACGAAAGATATACGAGTGCACGTTCACATTTACTCCACGGCGGTTTCGTGCAAGCAACTATGGGATTTGGTGGACAAAAAATTGGTGCGATTCCAGGGTACCGATCGAGCGGGTGCTCCCAGCAACCACTTTCTCTCTGTGTTGGTGAATGAGCTACGAGAATTGCACGGAAAACAATTTACCGGTCACGCTAGCTCGTGGAAGCTGTGGGCAAATTACATCCACACGGCGCCTGCACACGAACGGGAACAAAGAATGTCAGAGTTACCTCCACTTTCCATTATTAAGTTCTTCAGATCTGTTCCTATTTCGGAAGCTGTGCAGCTGGAAAGTACCCGCAATGGGCTATCTGTTGCCAGCACCATCAATGCAGCATTTTCTTCAGAGCTCTCAGTGTTGGAAGAAGAAGCCGACCAATTGATTTCACTGGGACAAAGAGTAAAGCATCGCATTAGTGCACTACGCTCTCGATCGTCAATCAATTCAAGTTTGGTATCAGCAATGCAGGAGTCTATCAGACCAGAGGAGAATGAAATTAGCCGTTCACTTGTCGACAACGTTTCGGATATGCAAGATATTGATCATTTGTGAATCATTAACTCCAAGTCCATGATTTTTATACCAGGACTGTTTTATTAAAATAAAAAAATAAAGCCTTTTTACGCTCATTTTGTTAAAATTACTCTTCTTCGTTATAATTCGGCTCTTCATCAGTTTGAGGCAATCCTACTGAAGGATCGAAGACTCCACCCGGTGAATATCCACAGTGTTGATAAATTTTGCTACAACCATAGTTCTCCAACCCCATAAAAGTTTCCAGAGCCAAATAAGATAGGTTCTTGTTCCGATTATCTACATATACCTTCCTGATTCGTGATTTCATCATGCCGAAAATCAATTCTACAGGGTTGAAAAACGGACAATAGGCGGGTATGAATACTGGAATGATGCCTATGGAACTGAGATACAAAATGATGTTGGCATCACAATGGATGCGAGCCCCATCCATTATCCAAACAGAGTTTTTCCCTGGATATTGAAATACTTTTTCGTTTTTCAGAGCGAATTCACGGCAACAATCAAAAAATATTTTTCGTGTAAAAGTTCCCTCTGTTTCAAAACAATCCAATACGCCCTGTAAACCCAAAAAAGCATAAAAATGAAGCCCTTGGACGACGCACAAATTCACCCCTGAATACTAATCGTTTCCCTTTGATCCCATAACCACGATTCCTCAAGATGCTTCTGTTATCCAAAGACACTTCGTCTAGAAATACTAAATGATACTTGTCCCAATCAAAAGAACTCATTTCCGAACAGAAACGAAGAATTTCAATCTCTTTGATTTGGATGGCTCTGCGTTCTACCCAACTAACAATATTAGCTGCAGATTAGCTTATACAGCCAAAAATAGGTTTATACAGCTAATTTTTACCTGTATAAGCTAGTTTGCAGCTAAAATTGTTTGTTGGGTAATGCCTTCCACGTCAATCCTTCGGCATGAAAAATTCTGCAAACAGACGATCCACTTATTTTGATCTGGAATCGTTGGTAGAAAACATCACAACATTCCTCAAGGTAGAGAATCGGGTTCTGATAATAGAGCTCCAAAATCCATTGTCGATGACGTACACTGAATTTCTTGAATACTTGCTCCCGCTGCTTAGAAGAAAGTAATCCATTTTCTTCGTATGAAGTTATCCAGCTTCTGATCGTTGTTCTACTTTTACGGTAGATAATGGCAAGCTTGGCTCTGGTTAGCCCGAGGAAATAGTAGCCATAAAGGCAATGGTACTTAGTATTCGTGCTGGCTCTTTTATTTCCAACATTTTGAAGAATTACGTTGGGGGCGACCCCGGCGTAGTGGTTAACATCCATACCTCTCACGCCAAAGTCACGAGTTCAAATCTCATCCCCGGACAAGTCACGAATGACCCAAAAGTGTTAAAGTGACTATAATAAAAAAAAAAAAAAAAAAAAAAGAATTACGTTGGCCATGTTCCACAAAACTGACGAAAGACGAAAAGACAATGAAAAGCAAACCAAATGGCGTTGACGGCAAAGGATAGTACAAAGCCCGCCATGTTTCACGCACAGTCTGACGTTTGCTTATGAATTTTCTCATAGGAGTAAAGAGCTACAGAGTCGCCGTCAACGCCAAATGACATATGACGTGATGACAGCAACGCGTGTTAAAAATTAACAGATAGCACTTCTCGTCACACTTTTGCATAGTTACACTCGAGGTTACACTTTCAAACTGTGCAGTCCATTTAAGGGAAAAGTGCGCAATATATAAGTCAACTACCCGCATAAACGCGAACCATAAATTGACCTTACCTAAAATGGTTAAAAATTGTTTATTATCCCTGCTAAACTTTAACTGAAATGGTTATGGAACTTTACATGAACGTTCAATGATAAAGTTTCAACCTTATGTATTATGGTTTTTTGGAACTTGACCTTACAAATAATGGGTTGTTAAGAACCATTACCATTCCAAATTCTTGTTTTCTCCATACATTTTCAGAAAGAGAACTATATAAGAACGTTTTTACTTATGATTTGAGACCATTAATGGTAATGGTTATGGTAGTCAGTAAGGTTCATTAATGGTTTTGTATTATCGCTCAACTTTACGTGGAATATATCGTGAATTGGTAATCAGTAAATTACAGGCAACCAATTTGCGATATATTCCACATAAAGTTGATCGATGTTACAAAACCATTCGTGGACCTTACTGACTACCATAACCATTACCATTAAAGTTCTCAAACCATAAGTTAAAAGGTTCTTATATAGTTCTCTTTCTGAAAATGTATGGAGAAAACAAGAATTTGGAATGGTAATGGTTCTTAACAACCCATTATTTGTAAGGTCCGCTTCCAAAAAACCATAATACATAAGGTTGAAACTTTATCATTAAACGTTCATGTAAAGTTCCATAACCATTTCAGTTAAAGTTTAGCAGGGATTATAAACAATTTTTAACCATTTTAGGTAAGGTCAATTTATGGTTCGCGTTTATGCGGGTAATAAGCAGCCGCCTTGCAAAAAGTTAATGAAGATCATGTGTCAAATGAAATGTATAAGCGGTCACACATACCTTTTATGAATTCTTATAGGACCTATGTGGTTTGTCTTATGGAATGTATAAGGCTGATGTTTTGGCAAAAATGTATAAGTGAAACTCAAAAATCATTAACATACAAATTAATATTTTTGAGTGTTCCTACCTCTACCAAGGTTGTAATACACCTAGTCGGATTTTACCGAGCTCACATTCAATAGCCCCTCGTTCGTGTGTACAAACCGAACTGTCAAACATCTTGCTTATGTGTGTGCGTGTTTACAAAAAAAATTTGCATCGGTTTTCTTCATTCCTTCACAAAAAGTGTTTACTTTTCATTCGACACATTCTTGGCCGCAGTAGAACGCAGTGAAAAAACAGTGAATTTCGTCTAAATTCAGTGCAGTTGAGGAATCTACTGGTGGAAACAATACATCCCTGAAGGTACCTAAAGAACTGTGTGAGATTTTGTGGAATCCTGATCAATTTCAGTGATAATTCCTTCATATCCACCGCCCGATCAATATCCGTGGGAATCTTAAAAGCGCCATATTTGATGGGGTTGAAATTTTCACTCCAATTTAAATACACTTCCTGTGCTTTACAGTCGGTTCCGGAAATAGCTATGTGGTAAGAGTTCCCACTGAGACGGCGATTTGAATTTAAAATGGATCTTTCGGAGGCGATGAAGATTGCGTTGGCCAAGAGCCACTCAGCACAGCATGCCGTCGCTGCCGCCGCAGGCAACAATGGCAACGCCTCCGCCCATGGCAGTTCCAGCGGGGATCAATCCGGCGCTGGATACGTTACGGAAAAGCTGTACATGCTGCTACAGTTGTATCTACAGAACAAGGGCTGGAGCCCTTCGGTGGAACTGCTGCAGTGTTTTGCCGAGTTGAAGGATACGCCGGTGCTCCCAAATGCGGCTTATCTACAGATGCTGGCCAGTCGAGTGGCACTGGATGCCCAGGGCCGGTTGGTGCTGAGGGAGTCCGGTAAAATTATACTACCATTCGAGCACTTTGCGAATGCAGTCATGTTGAAGCACATGTCCGGACCTCACGGATTGCATCTGAGTGTGGAAGCTACCATGCGGGCCGTTATGGAATCCTACACCATTGGGCGGGAGAACTTGGGAATGGAGAAAGAATTTATTGTAGAAGTGGTGCACTCGTGTCCCAGTCCGGCTTGCCGATATTATAAGGGACAGATGGGAGTGGGCCCATTCATAGAACAGTCGTTCAATCCGGGAAGTCATATTAATTCGGATTATCTGGCTCACTTGCAACAGTTGGGCCAGTCAGGATTGGATATTGGAGCGGTTGAAGCTGCCGGGAAGGGGGGGATTAGCAATCAAGTGAAGATACCGAAGACTACTCCCACACAACAGCAGCAAATTACAGCCGCCATTATTCAGCAACAGAACAGGGCAATGGCTCAGCAGTCGCTCGAAAAGTTTGGAAATCTTTCGAATTTGGAGAAGCAACGAGTTCTGCAACAGCTGGACAAGAAGCATTACGAGGTTGCTCAATCGCAAGTTCCTAGCTTGCCAACGCAGTTGGTGCCTGCCAGTAATAGCACTGTCATCCCAGCACAGGTCACCGTGGGCAGCCAACAAGCAGCGGCAGCAGCAGCAGTTTTATTACAACAGCAACAACAGCAGCAGCAGCAGCAGCAGCAGCAACAACAACAACAACAGCAGCAACAGCAACAGCAGGTTCAAACAATAGATATTACCCGTGCTCAGCAAACATCGACTCCGCACGTTGTCCAACAACCGGTCCAGCAGCACACGGCGGCTCCCTCGCAGATAGCTCACGCGCACTTCCTAAACCAGCCGCCCCTGCAGACGGTCAACATGGACACCGGCCATAAGTTGTCGGATTACATGCGCGGTGCGGTCGATCCGCTGGAGAACGTTGCCACCAGTAAGGATCTGCTGGCCCTGCACAACGGGGCCTGGACCGGGCAGGATGGCCGCGTCGGCGGCGGCGATGGCCTAGTCGTCAGTCAGGACAAAATCATCCGCGCGTTCAGCGAGCTGATGCGCAACATTGGCCGGATGAAGACATTCATCCGTCCCAGCATGTGCAAGCCGTACGGGAAGCAGTCGGAAAGTTTGCAGAAGAGTGAGTAGTCCACCGTTGATTTATGGGAATGTATGGCAGTGGTAACGGCTTGATTTTTTCATTTTAGCACTATTCGACACCATTCAGCTGGTTCAGTCACTGAGAAATTGCCTTCCGGCATCGCATATCCCGGTAACGTCGTGGAAGAGCGAAACGCACACCGGCGGCAACGAGTCGGAAACGGTTTAGATTCGCTTTGCGGAGCGGAAGGAAATCGATTCCTGTTTATTGACGAAAGCTCAAAGGAACACCGACTCCGCAGGGGGGCGGGGAGATGGAGGAAAAATGCGCACGTTAAGAACGATTACCACTGATTAAATGTGAATTGTGCTCAAGAATGCATAATTTCAAAATTCTAAACACTCCTCAGAAAGTAGGAGAATTTATGGAACAAATTGAGAGTTTCAAAATCCGTTATTGTATTAGGTGGCATTCGATCTGCCTTGCGCATTTTACCTCCAGTTTCACCTATTCGATGTTCCAGAAATGAAACTAAAATACTCACCAGCCATGCAAAAAAAAAAATACAGATTTTTGTACTCGAAAAAAGTTGGGACCCCCTTGATTATTTTGATACCGTAAGGTACTATACCTTAGTTTGTTAGCTGAAGAAACTGTCCCAAAAATGTACTATTTTTTAAGCTAACAAACTTGTTACAGTACCTTAGTTGCGGTATCAAAATAAACACTTTTTTCGCATTCAAAATCTGTATTTGTGGCATCGCTGAAACTCACATTCATCAATTCTCGTATTATAGAACAAAACTAATATTTCTAGACGTAAGCAACACTGTTTCACAGTCTCATCATTCTCATCAACCGCAAAATCGCAGCTTAGGATAAGTTTTAAGGGCTTCTACTTGGCAGCAGCAACAATGCATTTAAAGCCATCAGCATATTTGATTTGTTCCTTCGGCGGCCTTTGCTGCCACATTCGTAAACTAGTTAACTATTATTTTTACACACACACACACATACAATTGTGATAATTTTAGATCAATTGCAATCTCAGCCGTACTTTTTCTCGTGCTAAGCGTAACGCATCCACTACTCGTAACGTATTAAGTCGAATTATTTATGAAAACTAACCTGTCGCGGACAAGAACTTTCTGGCTCCAAATCATATGAACCACTGTAGCACTTTGGCGAATCAATTTTAGGAGAACTGCTTAGAAGAAAAGTGAATTTTAAATTAAACGAAAAACTGTGTTGTAATTTACGATAGAAAGAGGAAAACAAAGAAAAAAAACTGGCAATAAACCTGTGATAGTGTAAGAATTGGAAAGCAAACACATCGAGAAAAACGAAAGCAAAATTCGTGAACCGAATTTAAAATGTGAAAACAAAAAAACGAAAGCTATTTTAGGTTTACAACTTTTAGGTCGAAATTTTTGAAAGCTAGCAAAACTACTAAATCAACTTGTAATTGTAATTCTTCCAAATGGACTTACTTTTTTTGAATTTGCTACATTTGAAATGATATTCAATAACAACAACAACTACATGTGCAATAAAATAATCTGCAACCGTGTGGAAAAGTCGTGACCATGTTCTGTAATTTTCTCCTTCAAACTGTTGGTAGAAGAACAAAGTTGTCAAAACGATGGACTGGGATTTTGCACGCGGCGTAAAAGCAAGAGAAACTACATTAAAGCGGAATATGACGTCAAACTTCTCTTCTAATGCTTGTCAAATTTAATAAATTATAAAAAATATCCACACAGCTTACAATTACGTTTGAAGAAGTATGGTATAACTCAATATCACATGTCCAATTATGTACCAAATAGTGTATTTAACCAACAATGCAAAACAATAACCCCGATATGTTCTCAGCGGATGAACTGATGGAAATTTTCGTCATCATGACCGGTGCTCTACGTAAGTGCCGCAGTAATCCGAAACAGGTCCTAGTGCTCGGTAAGTTCATCATCCAGTATGGTGTCTAAACCGCTAGCTATTGCTACCTTGCTCTGTACGCGCAAAACAGATTGAGCTTGCCGACTAAAGTCCGGCGACAGCTTTTGGTTGCCTGACCACAACATTATCCGGCTTGATCGCTCCATCCCGGGGGGAGGAGTGTAGCGGTCATCGTCAGAAAGGGAATCAAGTTCACTCTACGATTCTCCAAGCTAATCATCGAATCCAAGCTAAAATATCCCGTTTCAACCCTCACACGATCTCACAAAACTTTAGACGGATGCGTAGGATCTTTGTGTGTGGATTGATTTGGATTGGATGCTCGGCTTGGATAATCTTAAATCACACAGCCTGCTCATACATTATTTCAAGATTTAACATATATGAGTAATGTGCTGTAAATGTATGGTACTACCATTGAGGTAACTCTAAGACCAGAAGGTCCCGAAGAAACGTGCTCAACTTTCGTTCTACCTAGCTCTGGTCCTCACAAGTTCCTACCTCACACCTCCCCGTGGTGTAGCCTGGGCAATGTTGTCCTTCCGACAATAGCAAAGTGAGGGAGTGCGACGCAAACAGTGGCGCGGTAACCATAGCACGGCGATTGTTATCAGAGAGAGCAGGGTATCCGTTTGAGCTTGTTCTGACTTTCGACAGCTTTATTATCGGTTGCTTCAAAACTAAAATAGGTGTACAATAATTAATAAACTGTTAATTTCCTCCATAACCTTACTTACGATTCAGTAGCCCAATTACTCGAATCCACTGCTCACTTCAACTATGCTTTACAGATGGTCCTGGACCTAAACATATTCAGTAATTGAGTAATATTTTAACGTTAATACCTATATATTACCTATTCCAAATTTCTATTTATTTGCAATAAACCGGTAATATTTCAATTCCAGTATCCAACAAATTTCACTAGTAAATTCAATATTTTCTCTTAGAACACGTTATATTAATAGTTTCATTGGCGTCTGCCCGTATATCATTCTGCGTCGTTCCTTTTGTCATCGTTGACAGTTAGTCCTACCGTCACGCATGAAGAACGCAGCTTCAATGCTCGGTTGCGTGGCCGGGCTCCCAGCTGGTCTGTCTTTGTGGCATCATTCTCCCCCCGGTGGAACCAGTGAGCCTCCTTGGTTCCATCTTCCTTGGCCACATCAAGAACTGCAAGCTTGGAGACCGGTCTTCTGAGTATACCTCCATTCGTTTGAACGATCGCCTGCCGAACTCTGCCATCCGCAGCAGTTATGGCTTCCAAAACGCGACCACGCGTCCATCCGTTCCTTCTGGTATCATCTATGATTATTACTAGGTCCCCTGCTGCAACATTCCTCTCCGAGCAAAACCATTTCGTTCTTCTAGTTAGTGTGGGTAAGTACTCCCGTACCCACCGCTTCCAAAACGAGTTCAGCCGTTCTTGGATCATGGCCCACGATCGCTTCAAGAGTGCGTTGTTATCTTCGTACTTACTGCACGACTGGTTGCTTGACGCCGGCTGAGCTCCCTAGAAGGAAATGGTTAGGGGTGATTGCTTCCTGTTCCGCAGAGTCCAGCGGAAGGTAGGTCAACGGCCTGCTGTTGACTATGGATTCTGCTTCTACAATCATCGTGTGCAAAGCATCATCGTCTAGTTTTTCATTGTTATAGGCTGCCGTCAGCGCTGTTTTCACGGATCTGACCATTCGCTCCCAGGCGCCGCCCATGTGAGGTGCACCCGGGGGAATGAATCGCTAAGCTGTTGTTGAACTGGTGAACGTAGTCGCAAGCTTGGTATTGATTTGCTCACGTAGTAATCGCTCTGCACCTTGAAAGTTGGTGCCGTTATCGCTGTGGATTTCAACGGGAAATCCTCTACGGCACACGAATCGACGAACGCACGCTACACAGGATTCAGTTGTCAAGTTGCTCGCGATTTCCAGGTGGACGGCTCGTATCGTCAGACAAGTGAAGAGCGCAATCCACCTTTTCACTTTACTACGCCCAACTTTCACAAGAAAGGGACCAAAATAGTCCAGTCCAACGTAGCTGAATGGACGGGTGAATGGTGATAATCTGGCTTGCGGAAGTGGGGCCATCTGTGGAATGCTCGGTCGTGCTTTCCGTATCTTGCAAAGATTGCACCGAGCTGTGACGAAATTCACGAAAGAGCGAAGCTTCGGAATATGAAAACGTTGACGAATCTCATTGACTGTGGTCTCTTTGTTGCCATGCTTGAGTTGACGATGATAGTGATCCACCAGAAGCGCTGCCAGTCGATGTTTCCTCGGAAGGATGATGGGGTATTTGGCATCAGTTGAAGCACATTGCGCTGCCGCGATTCTGCCGTTCACGCGTAGAACTCCAAATTCATCCAGCATTGGTGTGACCTGGTAGATAGTGCTGGATTTCTCTAACGGTCGTTGTTGCTCTGACGGGAGGAAACGATTTGTAGACAGGGTGATAATCTCGTCAGGAAAGGATTGCCACTGAACTAGTCGGAAAATTGAGTTTTCGGCCATTTTCAGCTCCTTCTTCGTAAGAACCTTGGTGTTAAGGCGAACATTGCGACAGTTGTTGGTGAAACGGTGAACGTATGCCATGACGCGTTGCAAATGCGTCCACTTCGAGAATCGTTCGATGTCTACAATACATTCGGGAACATGTATCTCCCGATGAACGTAACAAGCTCGTAGCTCTTCTTCTCCTGATTTTTCCGGATCACCTCTCTTCCAATCTCGCTCAGGTAAGTATAGAAATTCAGGTCCGCTATACCAGATGCTGTTGGAATTGAAATACGGTCCAGCTCCCCACTTCGTAGCCTCGTCAGCTGGATTATCTTTCGATGCTTCCCAGCGCCACTCGGTGCGGTCGGTCACTTCCAATATTTCGGACACTCGGTACGCTATATAGGGACTGTACTTGTGAGGATCCGCACCAATCCAACTGAGGGCTGCACTTGAGTCGCTCCAAAATACCCGCTTTTTGATCGAGTAGGAATGGCCGTCGATAATGTATTTTGCGAGACGCGTTCCCATCACGCAGGCCTGAAGCTCCAATCTCGGAATAGTGACTGGTTTCAGCGGAACAACCTTCGTTTTTGCGGAAACTAGCGCTACTTCCACTTCTCCATCTTCGTTGACAACTCGAAGGTACGACACCCAGGCACAAGCGTCCTGGCCTGCATCGACGAAGGTATGTAGTTGAACGTTTGCTAAATTTGTGGCCCCTGTCTTTCGAAAGTAGCATCTTGGAATCCGAACGCTATTGATGTGATCGATCATCTCAGTCCATTTGCGCCATTGCTCGAACAACCGATCGTCTACTTTCTCATCCCAGCCGATTCCTAAACGCCAAGCGCTTTGAATGAGTACCTTGCCGAAGACCAAATATGGGGCGAGGAATCCCAGTGGGTCGAAGAGAGACATCACACACCGAAGAATCTGTCTCTTTGTTGGCTTGTGGCCGTTCTCGATAATGGATGCGACATCTCCACGCATCGTAGCTGAAAAACATAACTCATCGGACTTTGTCATCCAACGCATTCCCAGGACGCGTTCAGATTGCTCCTTTTCATCGAGACACATTTGCTTCACCGGATGCTGTTGACTCTCCCCTAAATGCTGAAGAACCGTTGGGCTATTCGAACACCAATTCCGAATCTCGAACCCTCCTCGTTTGTGGATCTCTCGGACTTCAGACGCAACTTGTTTCGCCTTATTCTCGGTGGAGAAGCTATCCAGATAGTCGTCAACATAGTGATTGAAAACTATCCCCTCAACAGCTCGTGGTAACTCCTTCTCGAAAGATCTTGCGTTAGCGTTCTTGACGTACTGTGCGATGGCTGGTGAACACGTCGCACCAAATGTAGCAACGTCCATACGGAACACTTGAGGTTCTTCCGAAGGGTCGTCACGGAACAGGAAACTTTGTGCAGAACGATCCGCACCTCTCGTACGGACCTGATGGAACATCTCTTTCACGTCTGCACTTACGGCTACAGTATATTGTCGGAACCGAAAGACTACGAAGCACAGTGGAGTTACCATGTCGGGTCCTTTTAGTAGAACCGAGTTTAAGGATATGCCATCCACTTTTGCGGACGCGTCCCAGATTAATCGAACTTTCCCTGGCTTGTTCGGGTTGGTCACCGCTCCGAGGGGGAGATACCATGTGCGACAAGGGTCCGTTTCTGCTAATTCTTCCGCTGTCGCTCGGTGCGCATAGCCCTTCTGCTGATACTCGTCAATCTGCCGCAAGATGTTTTGCTTGAGCGACGGATCCTTAGCCATTTTGCTCTCGAGACACTGGAGTCGTTTGACCGCCATCGGGTAACTGTCTGGGAACTCAAAGTTATCATATTTCCACAGCAGCCCCGACTCAATCCTCTCGTTGACTCGTTTAGTAGTAGTTTCTAATATTCGGGCACATCGTTTGTCCTCTTCAGACATTACCGCACCCGTTGGTTTAATTCCGGCCTCCTCAAAAGAAAAGTACTTCTTCAAGGCTTCGTCAAAGGCCTCTTCTCCCCCACACTCACAGATGTGATAGCTGTATTCTGGATGTTCTTGAGTACGCTGAACACCGTAGGACACACCAGCCTAACCGTGTCTTGACGGCCGTAGGGCCACCCGTAACACCTTCCCGAGTTTTTAACGGAAGCGCCAGTCGCAGATTATCGACACCGATGAGCAATTTGGGAACTGCGTTGTGATAACCTCGAACAGGAAGTCCAGCGAGGTGGGGGTAAATATTCATCAGCTTGTCGATTGGTAGACTCTGCATAGGAAGATCCAAAGCTTGGATTGTGCGAACGTCGTTCATTCTGTACCGTTTAGAATTTCCGCAGTCGGAGATGAGGATCGAGATGCGCTGTGAGTCAAGTTCTTCCCTGGTCACGTCACCGGTCCACTTCAAGCAGAGTGGCTTTTTGTACCCGGTAACGCCCAATTCCTTTGCCAAACTGCTTTCGATCATGGTTACGGATGATCCTTTGTCTAAAAAGGCAAACGTTTTCACGCTTTTGAGACCATTGTGTAATGTGATCGGAAGTATGCGGAAAAGTAAAGACGGTATGGATGCTTCGTTGAGGTGATACTGTACATGCGACTCGCTGGTTTGTCTCTTGTACTTCGAAGCGGAAGCATGTAAGAGTGGATTGTGCCGATATTGACATCCGTCGACCTCACAGCGTTTCGTACTGCGGCATGCTCTTCGCCCGTGATTCGACAAGCAGGTTCGGCACAATTGCAAACTTTGCACCTTCTTCCAGCGGTCGTCGACCGGTAAGGCGGAGAATATTTTGCAATCCTTTACGCGATGTCCTTCTCTTTTACACACCAAGCAATCCACCTTCCCCGCTTCAGTGTGAATTAAATTCCGATCTCGTGGCTTCGGGCGATCCTGTTTGCTGTATCGTTCGAAAGTAGTGGCTACGTTCGACACGCTGTAGGCATCGCTGACGATCTCCTCCATGAAATCGCTGAAGGTCTTCAAATTTACCTCCCTTTGCTGTCTACGATGTCCAGCCCACCTCATTCGATACTCGGCAGGTAGTTTCTCCACCAAATCTTTCAGCAAAGTGGGGTTCGCAAGATGGTCGTATAGATGTGCAGCGATAATATGATCGCAAAGTGCCTGCACCATAGTACCAAACTCGATTATCATTCCCAGCTTGTCTACCTTTGGCGAAGGTGCGGTCAGGACCATCTGTAAAGCATAGTTGAAGTGAGCAGTGGATTCGAGTAATTGGGCTACTGAATCGTAAGTAAGGTTATGGAGGAAATTAACAGTTTATTAATAGTTTCATTGGCGTCTGCCCGTATATAATTCTTCGTCGTTCCTTTTGTCATCGTTGACAGTTAGTCCTACCGTCACGCATGAAGAACGCAGCTTCAATGCTCGGTTGCGTGGCCGGGCTCCCAGCGGGTCTGTCTTTGTGGCATCAGCGATAGAGGAAATGCTTCGTCAACCCGCAGGAGTGCCAACCGGCACATTAGGAGCGACGCCAGTAAGATCCTAATTACGGCATACTGGACACGGCATGGAATAATGGACACGACACGACACAATGGATTGGATACCACGCTACAGGGCTGACAGTCGTGCTATTCTGCTCCCTGAGTAAAGAAGGGTGACACCTTCTTGAAATGGCGAGTGGGCTAATAGTGCGGCTGCCCCCGTCCCGGTAAAACCTTGGCAGGCCTCCGGATACGTTCAAGTTCTAGCAGCGGCAGTAAGCCCCAAGGTGAGCAGCAAGGACACCAAGGAGAGCTAGGTCTTATGCTAAGCCAGATGTTCACACCGAAATCCAGCAGTAGCACACCCCAAGAAGGAAATAAAGGAAATGGTGACTGTAGGATCCTGTGAGGACTCTTTGAAGACGCTTCACAAACGGAATATTAAAAACTCACACTCCTGTACACTTTACTAAGGGTTCTTTATTTGCAACCGATCGTAGCTATAGTTCATTCTCGACTGACTTGTTGTCGGCCTCCTCGTTTCTTCATAACCTCTCTTAGACATATCCTCTCATTCTCTCATGATTCCTCACTATTCACAACACTACATCCTTCTCCTACTCTCACCAAAATAAAACATCTCAATAGCACCAATAAGAATAAAAAAATCAAGTGTATCGTTTCGACGTTCTCTTTGTTCGAGTAGGACGTTTCTGAGTTAGGCCCCTATGTTCGTTGAAATCGTCATCGTCATCTGGTTTCTTCAATCGCTTCAATGACTGGCGCCGTTGCTCAAGACCCACTGCATCCTCCATGTTTCTTAGTTGTTTTCCTTCCGTGGACACGTGGGTGGGTTGCTGTTCCTAGGGTTGACGGGAATCTGTAGATGAATCTGAGAAAGTATTTGATGGGGAAGATGGCCACTTTTTTAAGTGGGCCACTGGTCGACGGTACTTCACTCCGTCTTCGTTGGCAATAAGCGTATCATTTCCGGATCGTGCGAGGACCATGAACTTCTCCATTTTGAAATTCGGCTCGAGTTTACCGGATTCGTAGTTCTTCAGCATCACTGTATCTCCGGTCGTTATCTCGGACTCCCTGGCATGCCTACGCTCATCAGCATGCAGCTTCCCTTGCATTTTTCTAATTGCATCAATATCTCGAACCTGTTCGTCTCGTCTCCAGTTAGGGTCTGTCCGCAATGACGGCAAGAGATCCTTAACTGGGCGTCCTGTTAGCAGTTCCAGAGGGGCTTTTCCCGAAACCGAGTGAGGAGAGGTATTATACATATACACGTATTCCTCAAGAGCCTTTCTCCAATCCATTTAGTAACTTTGGCAATCCGTAGTGCCTTCAGGATCCCCTGGTTCTGCCGCTCCACTAAACCATTAATCTGGGGGCCAATACGGTATGGGTTACAACCAATTCGATGTTTCTGCTACCACAAAAGCTAGAAAATTCTTCACTTGCAAACGGTGGCCCGTAGTCTGAACGAATTTTTTCTGGGTAAGTGTGGTCTTTGAAAATTTTCTGAAGTGCGTCAGCTGTTTTGGACAACAAATAATACCTTTCCACTGCCCATACAACAGCTAACGCCTCTCGCTGTGTCTGTGGATACATTCGTTCGACATTCGTCAGCCCCTTGGAAGCGAAGCTGATGATTCTAGGTCTGTTTGCATTATCACGTTGAATTAACACTGCCCCTAAACCTACTGGAGAGGCGTCCACGTACAGCTCCGTGATGTCTGTAGGATCATAGAATCCCAACTTTCGTACTTTGTTTGTTAGCTCCTGTCGAAGGTCATCAAACGCTGCACGCTGGCTTTGCTCAAAAGCATTAGTTTCCCGCGAATGAACTTACGTAGTGGTTCTGTACGAGTTGACAAATCTGGTATCAAGTGTCCGCAAAAATTAACAAGTCCTAAGAAGCTTCGAACTTCCTCTATGGCTTCTGGCATTCGGAAGCTTTTGATTGCTGCAACCTTCTCCTCAGATGGACATATTCCCAGGGCGCTCACTTTAAACCCTAGTATTTCCAGCTCTCTTACGCCAAAAACGCACTTTTCAAGATTCAGCTTAGCATTGTTGTTTCTCAAGACGGTTAGGACTTTGTTTAAACTGATGTCATGTTCCTCTTGGGTTCTTCCGGCCACGACAACGTCATCTATATATACTACCACACCAATGACAAATTAAACAAATGGCTTTGAATATTTATCCGACCGAAGAAAAAATGTCCACCATCAATGCTGTCTAGAAAACACTTATTTCTTCACATTTCGGGTCATTTTATTAATTTCAACCGACATTTATAGAGGAGAAAAAAAAACTTACCAATTCGATTCTACCGACTGCGCCACTTGTAGGATTCTGTGGGGACTCTTTGAAGACGCTTCACAAACGGAATATTAAAAACTCACACTCACTTTACTAAGGGTTCTATATTTGCAACCGATCGTAGCTATAGTTCATCGACTATAGCATCGACTGACTTGTTGTCGGCCTCCTCGTTTCTTCATAACCTCTCTTAGACATATCCTCTCACTCTCTCATGATTCCTCACTATTCACAACTCTACAGTGACGGGCATCAAATCCGCCATGATTGCTGCCGAACATGAACAGGATGAGCTGAGGACGAGATCTGTGACTGCCGAAAAAGCACTGATCGAGGCCAAGGTGAAAGCAGCAGCTGAAACACAGGAGGTGCCGAAGGGACCTCGAAATCCACGCTCGGAGAAGAGGAAAAGGGAAACGCCACGAGAGGAAGAGGAGTTGAAAAAAGTCAAGAACAACAAGCACGACAACAAGAAGGAAGGATGGCGTACCGTCGAGAAGCCGAAGGAGAAGTGGAAAAAAACGGAAGGAAAAAGCAGTGAAAAAGAACAGAAGAAGGAGATACCCAGGACTCGTCAAGAGCGAAGTAAGGGCGATGCTCTGATCGTCGAAGCAAAAGACAAAACGTCGTATGCAGCACTCCTCCGGAAGGTTCAAGAGGATCCGGAGTTGAAGCAACTAGGAGAGAACGTGGTGAAAACCAGGCGCACTGAGCTGAAGAAGCATCCTGCGATCAAGAGGTCAGCCTTCAAGGAGCTCGTCGAAAAGTCTGTTGGCGAAGGGGCGAGCGTAAGAGCTTTATCCCAGGAGACAGTGGTCGAGTGCAGGGACCTGGACGAGATCACTACAGAAGAGGAGCTAAGGAGTGCGTTGAGAGTGCACTGCGATCTGGGAGATGTCCCGATGTCAATCCGGATGAGAAAGGCGTACGGTGGCATGCAAACGGCGGTGATACGGCTTTCGAAAGTTGCAGCGAGGTCAAGGTCAAGGTTGGCTAGTCAGTGTGCTCGCTGAAAGCCACTCCTCGTGCATGGGATTCGGTCACCAGGCGAGGAACTGCAATGGCCCTGACAGATCTGATCTGTGCAGGAAATGCGGAGAGAAAGGCCATATTGCAAGAGACTGCACGAAGCAACCGAGATGTATGCTCTGCAAAAAAGAGGACAGTAACGATCATACGACGGGAGGCTTCAAATGCCATACAAAAAGGCGATCGCAGGCCAACAGTAATGGAGGTAATCCAAATAAACCTCAATCATTGCGAAACTGCACAGCAACTGTTGTGGCAGTCAACAACAGAAACAAAGTGCGACGTTGCAGTTATTGCGGAACCGTATCGAGCTGGGATGACGGCTATACAAGTTATGGGCAGATACCCTATTCAAGAAGTGGTTGCGAGCTGGTACGAAGGTTTTGTGATCGCCAAAATTAACGGAATCTTCATATGTAGTTGTTACGCACCCCCTAGATCGACGATAGAGAAGTTCCATGCGATGCTGGATGGACTTACCGAAGAGCTGGAGACTTCAATGCTTGGGCAGTGGAGTGGGGAAGCAGGTGTTCCAATGCAAGAGGGCACAATCTACTGGAAGCTCTGGCAAAACTGAAAGTTATGCTGGCCAACGAAGGCATCAGCAGCACTTTTCGCAGAGATGGCCGGGAATCCATTATCGACGTTACTTTCTGCAGTCCGTCGCTGGTGGCAATCCGATATGGCATCGGCCAACGGAATTCTGTGGCAGTAAGGAGGACGAGAACTTGTAACCGGAAGTGGAAGACAAAGGCTTTCGACTAGGATCTTTTCGTTGAGGCAATCCGTGTCGACAGGACCCCCGGGGTTCTGAACGCGGACGAGCTGACAGAAACGTTAGTGAAAGCATGTAACACGACCATGTCGAGGAAACTGGAGCCAAATAACAGACGGCGTCCAGTTTACTGGTGCAATGAGGCACTTAACACCTTCCACGCTAGTTGTCTTAGAGCCAGAAGACGTGTTCAGAGAGCAAGAACAGAAGCAGACAGAGAGGAACGAAGAGGAGTGTTTCGAGCGGCCAGGGCCGCACTTAAACGAGAGATAAAGCAGAGCAAACTGTTTTAAAGAGCTGTGTCGAGACGCTGATGCCAACCCCTGGGGCGACGCATAACGAGTCGTGATGGCGAAGATCAGAGGTCCAACGATGCCCGCTGAAATGTGCCCAGAGAAGCTGAAAGTCATCGTGGAGGGACTTTTCCACAGCATGATCCAACGAACTGGCCACCTACACCATATGGCGAGGTAGATGAAGCCAACGTTGAACAAGTCTCCAACGAGGAACTCATAGCAGCAGTGAAAGGGTTGAAAGCGAATAAAGCTCCCGGCCCGGATGGAATTCCCAACGTGGCGTTGAAGGCGGCGATCCAGACGTTCCCGGAGATGTTCAGGATGGTGCTGCAGAAATGTCTAGACGAGGGTCAGTTCCCTGATAGGTGGAAGGTACAAAATCTTGTGCTGTTGCCGAACTCTTGGAGAGGATCATCCTAAACAGGCTGACGAAATGCACGGAGAGTGAGCACGGATTGTCGGAGAGGCAGTTCGGATTCCGGAAGGGGAGATCGACGGTGGATGCAATTCGGACAGTGATCGAGAGAGCCGAGAAGGCGTTCAAACAGAAGCGGAGAGGAGATCGATATTGCGCCGTGATAACGATCGACGTCAAGAATGCGTTCAACAGCGCCAGCTGGGAGGCCATCGCCGAAGCGCTGCATAGAATGAGGGTACCTGATTACCTGTGCAGGATCCTGAGGAGTTATTTCCAGAACCGGGTTCTGGTCTACGAGACAGACACGGGACAGAGATCGATTAAGATCACAGCGGGAGTTCCACAAGGCTCCATCCTTGGTCCAACGCTCTGGAACGGAATGTACAATGGCGTGCTGACGCTCAAGTTGCCCAAAGGAGTTGAGATCGTTGACTTTGCGGACGATGTCGTCTTGACGGTAACCGGTGAGACGCTAGAAGAAGTGGAAATGCTGGTGGCCGAGGCGATCGACATGATTGGTAACCGGATGCAAGGACCGAAGATAGCCCACCACAAAACGGAATTGTTGTTGTTATTGGTCAGTAACTGTTAAGCGGTACAGCGGGCAGAAATCACCGTCGGGGAGCCATAGCCTCTAAGCGTGTGTTGAAATACCTGGGAGTGATGATCGATGACCGGCTAAACTTCAACAGCCACGTCGAATATGCCTGTGAGAAGGCTTCAAAGGCCATCAACGCGATAGCTAGAATAATGCCGAAAAACGCTGGTCCCAGCAGTAGCAAGAGGCGTCTTCTGGCCAGTGTGTCGTAGTCGATACTGAGGTATGGAGGTCCAGTCTGGGTTGCAGCGCTGGAAACGAAGCAGAACCAAAGGAAACGGAGCAGTACATTCTGGCTCATGGCCATGAAAGTCGTGAGTGCGTACAGAACCATCTCGTCGGAAGCATTATGCGTTATCGTCGGAATGATCCCTATCGGCATCACCCTGGCGGAGGACTACGAGTGCTATATGACGAGAGAAACCAGAGGAGTACGAAAAATTGTGAGAACGGTGTCGATGGCTAAGTGGCAGCAGGAGTGGGATGCAGCAGAGAACGGTAAATGGACACACAGGCTAATACCGATTATTTCGACCTGGGTGAACAGGAAGCATGGAGAAGTCAACTTCCACTTGACGCAGGTCCTCTCTGGTCATGGCTGCTTCAGGAAGTACCTGCATCGGTTCGGACACACAACGTCACCCTTGTGTCCGGAGTGTGGGAATGTGGAAGAATCACCAGAGCACGTGGTCTTCGAATGTCTTAGATTTGATGCTGTGCGAGAGGATATGCTCGCCCTTAGCACGGAGAATGTTTTCGAAGAAATGTGTCGAGAGGAGGGCACCTTTAACGCCGTCAGCTGAGCAGTAACGCAGATCATGTCAGCGCTGCAGCGCCAACTAGAAAGTAGTAATGTGCTCCAGCAGTACCAGGAGACGACGATTGACGAGTAAGGAGACTTCGACGAAGAAGAGGAAGGTGCCGACGAGTGATAATAGATACACATAGTTAAAATGGTCGTTTTCATTATGCTACCATATGCTACTGTTAATAATTGCTGAAATAAAATCTGATTATATTAAAAATTAACACTGTTAAATTAATTATGTTACAAATGCATTGCAGCAGCGTGCACCACAAACACAACGCGATATGCTAATTTGTCATCCTTTTAGCGGAATGAAGCGCATCCCACTGGCTAAAGAATACTTTGACTGTTCGTCCAATGCTTCCGCCCGCCAGACGGCACAGGAAATGTGCCTTCTTCATGTGAGTTAAGGTAATTAAGTTGAGGTAATCTTCCTTCCGGAAAAACTGGTCCGGAATCTCCAGCAGTAAATCTACTTTCAGTGGCTTGCCATAAGACTGGATCCAATATGGTGCACGATCCGTTGCTGAACGAATTCGAAGCTGTCGAGCCGTCGGGAAATGCCCTTCATAATCCACATCCTTCAGAGATCGTTCATTGTCCGCATCTTTTACCGTCCTCAAAAACTTCCGGAAATCGCCCAACTAACGCTCAATATATTCCTTTCGATTCCGAAGATCCGACAGTCGTAGCTAGCACAAAGCGTCCACCGCTGTCGCTTTCCGGCTCCGGCCGCCCAAAATCGTCGTCGTCAATTGAGTTCTTAGGTTTCGAAAAACAAAACAAATTCAAGAGTTGCACCATTCTGACAAATGATCTTCCGGGAAATTTTTACTCATAAATCGCAAAAAGTGCAAGAACTCAGCGATGAGTAATTTCGCATCATGTGTTCCTGTGGAAAACCTCAAAAATCTGCCGGAAAATGAGGAAAATTGACGAAAATTATACTAAAATATAGTACCAATAGACGAATGAATTCGATCTTGACTTTTCTCATATTTAGTATTTGTTCTGGAAAAAAAAACTCAGGAAAATTTACTCAGCGCTGAGTTCCTGAACTTTTTGCGATTTATAAGTTAACTGAACTCATTGGCCGTGCAGAAGAATTGGTTTAAATGTTGCAAACTAGCGTCAAGGGAATTTCTTTTAGTTCCATCCAATAAGGCGCATGACCTCGGCCGGGCCACGTCCATACGATACCTCCTGATTCATCATGAATAGCAATTTATATTCATTTACGTCACAATAGTCGTTACGGGTATAGTATAATCATATGCATGTAGAGTATAGTAAATCATATCACACATAGTAGTATTAATAAATATTTTTTTAAGTTGTTTCGTTCTCAATCACATTTTTCTCTTCTTCATCATTCAGATCGGCGTGCGGTTCCGGCCGGAGGAAACCCCACAGCCGAACAGCATTCCGATTGGCCCAAACTTCTTTTTTTGTCTTCGTCTGTTTTTCCTGGGACGTAACACACGTCATTCAAAGGGGGGTAGGTACGCGATTGAAAAACGGGTTCGCACCTTCGTCAAACGCGCGGGATGGGTTAGATTTTGGTTTTTGTTTTTTTTCTCTTTTCGGGAAAATGTTTGTCCAACATTTTCCGCCTCTAACAAGTTTCTAATTTTAGAGCATTCAAAGCATTGCTTGCAGTTTTGTTGAATAAATCATCGTTTCCGGGTGGTTGAATCCGTTAAAATCTAAAACTCTTTGGACTAGCTCTCGTTACTGTTTGTTTGTTCTGTGTGTATCTAAGGTGTGTGCTTTTATTTCGCATGGATGCTCTCTGCTCTACCAGAGGTGGGGTGGGTGGGATGTCTATTCGGGATTTATGTTGGTAACCGTACTACCGGTTGCATGAAGACAACTAACTAAAAAATGCTCCGAGTTAGTAATTTTGTTCGCGCTTCGCGGTTTGCGAAAAAAATGGGATTGCCACTTTTGTAGACTAATTCCGTCGTTTGTGTCTTAGTTTTCGATTAATAGAGTTTGGGGATAAAATCGGGGGAAGGCAATGGAATAAGCAGTTTTAGGGGGGAGACATGTACAACTATTTACAAGACAAGAGGAGTGATCCTTTCCGGGACAGTGGGTCTCTAATTGATTTATTGTTTGGGTAGTCATATTGGCGAAATTCAAGATGGTTTTAGATAAGATAGATTCTTTTAATTTATAACAAAATAATTGTATGTTTTGTAATTAACTCAGAAAAAATATTGATGAGAAATATCCAAATAAAAGTCAATAACGTAGAAATAATAATGATCGCTTCATAATTTTGCTTTCGAAACGTCAAGAGAAGCTTTTCAAAAATGAATGTTGAAAATCAAAGGAAAAAAGTTACAAAGTGGTATCTTCTAACAAATCAATGATCAGAAAAATTCGAAAAATCGCCTCAAATCCACACCAATATCACTCCCTCCAAATGGACTCACCGTTGCACGAACAGTTACTGAAAAAAGTTCCACATAGAAAATACCTGCTGATGCTCCAGAAAAGTTGTCCGGCAGATCCGCGTCCTTTTAAACATTGTTCAGCTCGTCCGGGTTCAGCATTTCAAAGTCGCTGTCGCCGTCCTCGTCGGTCGAATCACCCTCGGCCACCGCTGCTCCGTACGTCCGTCGGTCACCCGAGGAGGACACTGTCATGCGGTTGTGCCTACTGGCGTGGGCACTGTTGCTCGGAGCCGGATGCGACTGACTCATTGCGGCGGAAGCGCTGGCAGCCATGGCAGAGGTAAGATAGCTCAGCACCCCACTCGTCAGTAGATTCCCGGCTAAACTGGCTAGCTGATCTTGCTGCTGCTGCTGCTGCTGCTGCTGTTGCAGCATAGGCCGCTGTTCTAGTTGTTGATACTGTTGCTGGTGATGCCCTCTCTTCCTACTGCTACTACCCCTGTCGGGTACATCGTCAAAGCTCAACCCCCGGGAAATGCTATCGTCCGAATCGGAGGAAGTGTTGGCATTGAAGTGGCCGCTCTTAAACTTAATCTCCCCGGTGGAAGCATCGGCGGCCGAGTGGGCGGCTGGTCCACTACTGCCGAGCAACAATTCGTCGCTGCTGGACGCATTGGATTGCTCTTCGTCTTCCTCTTCCAATTCCTTAATACTGTTCTGGGGAATCAGCAGATCCGAGTAGGTATCGTCGTCATCGTCCTCGTCGTCTTTGCCGCCTCCACCGCGCTCGCTGATGGTACTGTCCGTCTTGTAGACCGCGCTGATGTCCGCTTCTTCGCCGACCTGCTGCAGCAGCGATGCGCTGGCTTCGTTGATTTCCGGGAGGAAATCTTCCACCTCTTGATCCAGGAAACTTGCCGTCAGTGGGGTTGAAGCTGAAACGGAAGAGAGGAAAATGTAAAAAGGGTAAATACCATCGTGAAGGATTATGGATATGTGGGAATCTAGTTTGTATTGTTGAACGATACCTCCGGTATCGGGTTAGACCTTGATAGAACTATTTTTTTTTAAATCCAGCGAACTCTTATCGGGGTCTCCCTTGGCTCAGTTGATAAAGGCTACAAAGCAAGACCAAGCTGGAGGTGACTAGGTTCGATTCCCGGTCCGGTCTAGGAATTTTTCGGGTTAGAACATTTCTTAACTCCCCTGGGCATAGAGTATGATTGTGCTTGCCACATAATTATACTTATGTAAATGGTACAGGCATCGAAAGCTTTCAATTAATAACTGTGGAAGTGCATCAACACTAACTTGAGAGCACGCAATAAGCTAATATGTGATAAGCAATAAGCTTGAATTGCAAAGAAGAAAAAGAAGAAGATCATTAAAAATCGGTTATTTCTCTGAACACCCCTCACCATCCCTCTCCAAAGGGGGAGTTTGGTAAAGAGAGATGATAAAACCGATTTGTACCTTCCTTAAAAGTTGTCCTAGCTCGCTATCTACTCTTCTATATGCAATTTTCACACTGCCGTAATCTAAACGGTACTATCAATTCTATACTTTCATCTCCTCCTCATCTATCGTATAAAAATTACCACTTCAGTCAGTTATTCGAAATTAGCATCTTCAACTATGTAAATCCTTGACTTCACTTCAAAGTGTCCAATGGTAAAGATTTTCAAGGTGAAACGGTGAAGGATTGCCAAGTATGTCTGGGACAAGGTCACTCCGACACCAATCTTAGGTCATCTTTTTTGTTAATGTGCCACAGATGTGCCGATTGTGCCGGTCGTAGAGCAAGCTGCGATTGTTTGTAAAATATCCCTCCCGGCAACCCGGTATTTCTGACATCTTGAATGTTTTGGTTTGAAATCGCAAAGATAAATCGGATTGAGGATGACGTGGGAAGAGGCGGGTGTGTGAAATTTTGGTGTTTTGTGCTCATAGGATGATAAAAGTCCTCTGTTTTAGGGTTTTATATTGCCCTCAAAGGCAGACTAGAAAGCTAGCCTTTCGTGATGTGAAAAGCAACAGTCTATCAGCAGCCAGAAAAAAATGGAACCTGTGGAGAACATTGTTGGAGACCGATTATAAAGGATGATGTAATTTGTTTTGTGTGAGTTGCAGCATTATTTAAATTAAGCGTATTAATGGGGTCTGATTAACTGCCTCTTTCTCTTGAACCCACTCTAGAACTTACATTTCGTATTTAGATCTATAAGTGAACTGCTGGTCTGAGTTCTTCTGGTATATTCAATTAGAGGATGTTCCTGAATATACAGCCAATCAGCACGCAATGTTGTGAACAACTTCAATGACAGTTGTTCAGCAGTGCTCCCATTTTCTTTACAACAATCCAATGCATACGAGCTTGTGCCGAAGGTATGCGGAGGGATGTGCCTAAGCTGTGCCGAATCTAATGTCGGCACAATGTGCTGAGTGACTTACCCCTTGGTCTGGGAGGAAAACAACCTCGAAAACCGCTTTTGAATAGTGATTCCAGGGCACCAGAACTGTTGGAGCTGGTACATTATGATCTCTGCGGACCAGTAGAGATTCCTTCCTTGGGTGGCAGTAGATATTTTGTCACATTTTTAGATGATGCTAGCAAGAGAGTGGCCGTTTACTTCTTGAAGGCCAAAAGCGAAGCACTGGATGCGTTCAAATTGTTCCGAGCAAAGGCAGAACGTCAGACAGGTAAAAAAAAACTCAAAATACTCAGGACAGATATGACGGACGAGAGTATGTTTACGAAGAATTTCGGAAAGTGCTGGAGAAGGATGGCATCCACCAACAGAAGACCTGCCCGTGCACTCCAGAGCAGAATGGCACAGCGGAAAGAATGAATAGGACACTTGTTGAAAAGGCACGATGTCTGCTGAACGATGCAGAAATGCAGAAAGAATTCTGGGCAGAGACGATATCAACCGATCACCAACGAGATCAAATGGAGACAAGACGCCTGAAGAAATCTGGACCGGAAAGAGACCTGATTTGCGGCAGCTGAGAGTTTTCGGTACAAGCGCGATGATCCATATTCCGAAGGTCAAGCGTAAGAAATTCGATCCGAAAGCAGCAAAGGGTATATTCGTAGGCTATTGCGAGGACACGAAAGGATACCGCTTGTATTGTCCGGAGAGCAACAAGTTCGAGATTAGATGCAAAATATTTCAGCACAGGATGTGTTAAAGATGCTCTAGCAGTTGAATTCATAGAGTTATTCACGGAAGAGTTCATAGTACCCATTGAACGCCCTGATGAAAACACAACCAATAATGACGAAGAAGAAGACGTGGAAGGACGTTCCACAGAGCTACGACGAGGTCATGCGGCGACCAGATCGTAAGTGCTGGATCGAGGCAATGAAGGGAGGGATGGCATCATTGAGTGAAAACTAGACGTGAACGATGACGAATCTACCTAAGGGACGCAAAGCCATCTGGAACATGTGGGTTTTTACAATCAAGCGAGGACTTAATGGAAGCCTGGAGCAATATAAGGCGCGGATTGTCGTTAAGGACTGTTCACAGAGGCCTGGAGTTGACTACGAAGAAGTCTATGCAATCGAGCCGGGTCTGGAATGCAAAGCTAGATGAAGTACTGCGAGAATTCGATCTACAACGATCGCGGGTAGACATCTGCCTATACTGGATGCTGGACGGAGATAAGATGCTTTTCGTGACGATATATGTAGACGACCTGCTTAATTTCACGAACGAATGCCAGAAGAAGCTGAAAGAGTTCTTAATGCAGAGGTTCAAGATGAAGGACTTGGGTGTGGCCACACATTGCCTAGGCATTCGAATCATGCGAGACCGACGCGGTGGCAAGCTTTCGTTGGATCAGCAGGCGTACATTGAGGAAATCGTTCGACGCGACGAAAGGCAGATGCGAAACCGGTAGCTACTCCAGCGGATTCGGGCTTTAGACTGGAAAAGTCGATGGCACCTTAGACTGAAGAAGAGAAGATGTAGATGAGAAAGGTGCCATACAAGGAAGCGGTAGGATGTTTATCGTTCGTGGCACAGACCACTCGACCCGATATTGCGTTTGCCGTAAATGTAGTACGTCAGTTCGCTTCGAATCCTGGCAGACCGCCTGTTAAGCGAATCATTCGATACCTTAAGGGAACAGCGACGAAGAAGTTATAGTACAGGGGGAGGTAGCTCATCGATTCTTCCGGTTCGCCTCCTAGCATCGTGCTATAAGGTACCAGGCGATAACCAGGGTAGTTGATCGATAGCTCGATGACATCATTTCGTTGGCGTCTGCAATGGGAAATTCTCATAGCAGGCGTTGACGATGGGACGTTGCGAGTTGTTGAATAGCAACTATCGTGGTAACTCACCGATTACCTGTCGATCTGCCAAATTTGGAAAGACGTCTGCATTGAATTGTCTCATATAATAATATTCCGCCCACTATATCACAAGAAATTGCGAGTAGCTGAGTGGAATGGAGATAAGTTAAGCATTGGGTACAGGACCAAGTCTCCCCTGGGTGGTGCCAAAAGATGAGCGCAATAGAATCATCAAGTTGCCATTAGGCACGGAATGAGACTATTGCATGGCTGGGTAGTCAAAGTCTTCCATTCGTTAGTCATTTCAGGTGGATTAGAACAGGTTTGGATTTTTCAGATATAAGATACATTCATACCATTGGCATTTGGTATTTGAGATAAAGACAGAGACAGGATGCGGAGGGCCCGCTTAGGGGGAGCGTAACCCATGTTATGGCTTCCATTTATTAAATAGTTCAGATAGGCTGGAAATGATAGGTTCATGGTGAGAAAATGTACCATATGGTGCCCGTTCACTGATCATTGCAACGTTGATGATTTCCTATAGTGACACATATCACCTTCTTAATGCTTCAGTATGCCTCAAACGATTAATTCTTAGTTGTTAATAGAACTTCCTTGATGAAATCGGCTGCTTCATGCAGACTGAGCAATTCTGATTATAGTGTCAGATTTGTTCTGTATACAGAGGAACTGGGAGGGCTTATTAGAAACTTATCACCAATAAAATAATGATCTTCTAGTAAATTTTGCATTTAATTTTATTAATATTTTATTTTATTTAAGCATATTATTTTTGTTACAGTCAATTTGCATTAGCATATGATACAAGAGATTTAATATTACTTGCTCGTTTTCGCGTAAAATAATCAATATTTATCTTACTTGTAATTACCTTTGAAAGTTTTTTTTTAAAGTTTTTTTTTGTGATCTGAAAATTTACCCAGTTTGGTTAGAAGTTTCGAAGCTAACGCATGTCCACAGGCCTAATAGAAAGATAGGCAGAACAAGTGTATCATTAAGAATGGTTGCATGCAGGGTTGCTTCCACTCACTTGCTATAGATGAGTGATTTTCGGAGCTTTGAATTCGTTAGATGTTGTAATGGAGATTTGTGCTGTTGGATGCGGGTGGAGATTGGAGGGCGGGTGTTTGATGCATAGAGCCTGTCAATTTCGCTTTCAGAGTGTCGCAGTCAGCGGTTTTATGATTCGTGAGCGCTCGCGATTCGTAGAATCGTTGATTGTGACTGCAAGTGGATTTGACGGGTTTTGTGTTTCGGACGCTTGTTTTTGGCCTTTTCTTGTGTCTAACATGTGCAGAGTATCATTATAACGTCTACTGGTTTTGAGATTCCTGGTGGCGTGAAATATATTTGTGAGAATATCTTTTTGAGATTTTAACAGTCACGTTTTGTTTGTAGTTTATATTTTATTTATTCATGTAATTATCGTAAATAATAGTTATTCAATAATAGATAGTTCATCCATATATTCGTACTTTGACGCGAAGCGCTGTGGATTATGAGATGCTCGATGACCCTGGAGGGATCGATTTTGCTTACTGAGCAGAAAATCATAGATTTAACCCCAAGCACTTCAACAGCACAATAAATCGCCACCATCATGTGTAT